ACAGCACGAACATCCACTAAGATTTCACCTAACACTCTTAATCGATGATAAAATTCCTACCAGTGAGCGTAAAGAAAATATCTGTACTATGTTGCATCGCTCACTAACAAAAATAGATTAAAAATCATATTCTTCAGACTTTTTACGACAGTCTTAGTTAGCACTTGTAACTTTTCAATAAACAAAAATTCTCTTTGACAAAAGCCTTTAGAGCGCCTAGAACTTGCCAACATAAAATAAAAGCAAATAAACAAATTTCTTTCTCCAAGTGTAAACAGAGAGTTATTTGTCCAAAAACAAGGTGATAAGAAGGTAACCAGGATTCAAACTCAATAGGCAGCTAAGTAAATATGCTAACTTATTCTTATAGTTAGCAAAGGTTACTTGTATAGTTAGTCCTATTTAAATTGCCCTTTTTCGTGTATTTTTCTTTATTTTTTATTTTAAAACCACTGATGTAAAGGCAGGCAACCTTTATAGGAGTGGTGATGATGATGAATGATTTCTAGCGATAAACATGATAATATTTGTTTTTTATTTTGGAATTTACCCTTTAATCTAGTACCGATAACATTTTCCATGTTATTTCAGAAATTGGCCTTCACTCTAAGACTTTATCGTGACCCAAAACTTTTATATATGGCTAAACATGTATTTAATTTCTCTTAGAAATAGAGAGCCTATAAAAATCCTAGCCTAGAATAGACTGTTAGCTATAAGAATCAACGTTGAAATCAAAAGACAAAAATGGTTATTTTAATTTAAAGATATAATTTTTGCTAGTTTTTAAGTTACTCGTATAGGTTTTGTGACATTGTTATTTTTTCATTACAAAATATTCTTAGTAACACCTGAAGTCGAATGTATCGGAGTTATTTACTGTTGCAAGTTACTTTTTGCTAAGTAGACGCTGTAGATACATTTCGCAAACGATCAAAAGTCGTATAACTTGTTCTCGCAAATTGTTCCATTCACGAAACATATTTTTATCTAAGATACGACTATATATAAGGATAATGTTTTATATCTCTATCTATATAGTAACACAGTATATACCGTGGTATATCTACATTTTTTCTGATTAAGAATCCAAGTCATGTTATAAGTTTGTTAGTTTCGCCATCTAACCTCAAGGCTCGACGGATCCTTATACTAATTACACCATGTTTATAATACAATTCATTTATTCAGAGAACACTTTAGATTGCAAAACTACTCGTATCTAATTAAAATAAACGCTTTGTTCTTAAAAATAAATTTTAAAGTCAAATTATCTCAATAAATTGCATTTTAATTGTTATTTAAATGATACAAATTTTACGTTTCATCTATAAAGTAAGCTAAGAAAGACCTATTAGATGGTATTTCATATCAATATGAATGTTTAATTCAGGGATTCTAGTCAGGGCATAAACCTAATTGTATAAATACTATTCGGAAGGTCGCAGATTCGAGTATTGGGGTTGCAATTTCGAATCTTGCCCGATTTAATTAATTTTTCACTAATTATTGTTTTTTGACAAATTTAAATTTAAATATTGCTTTCATGATAAAACATTATTTCAATAATTTATATTTCCTTACAAATTATTAGCTTATATTAAGGCAATAACTAAATTTATTTTATTAATAAGAAATAAAATTCATAACTTTTTATTATAGCATAGTTTTAGTAGTTTTCATTTCTAATCAACTCACCATTTGTTAGATTGGATTTCATTCAGAATATGACCTGTTTTTCATTTTTAATATTTATGAAATAATCGCTAAATTCTAAGGTAGTAATGTAATATATTAAAACACTATTATTATTATTATAGATATTTTATAATTTAAATAAATCCTTAAAATTAAATTTCATCACGACAGTCGACAGTAAAAATCTCAGCAAGAAAATTTATCAAGATAATATAAAATACATTTCGATCGTACAATTTTAATGATTCATCAACATTTGCGTGAGTAAGAGTGGTGTAAGTGAGTCAAGGGTGATGCTTCGTTTGACCGAGACCCAGGTCGCGTGTCACAGTTTACTTTATTTGAAGTTAAAAAAGTACTTAAACAAGATACTTGGAACAATACTCGAAGATAGCTTATATATTTTACAGGGTACATAAAAATAAGTGAAACATCGCGTCGTTCAACACAAAATGTAATTAAATATGAGACTTTTTAAAATTAACAGATTAATTTTTGTTATCCTTTACCTCTGACATTTAGTGTTGTGTATTTACGAAATTATGCAATGCAGTTGGTACTTAAGCAGTAAATGTACTTTTTTGTAAATCACACCAAGTTCAATACACACCAAGTGAACTTTGAAGCAAGTTTGAGCCAGAAAGGTGACCTGTACGAATGTCGATCAAATTAACTGACCCCTTGACATCGTTTTCTTTTATTATTTCAGTGTCATTTTCATATATATAATTATTATTGTTTGTTTATTTTAAATGTGACTTACCAATTTCATTTGGATAATTTTGATATGATTTTAAAGTTCTTTTACTATTCTTTCTCGATCCCAAACTAAAATAAATAGTAGAGCTGGCAACAGTTTAATCAAAGTCATAAATATCGCGTTTAGAAGATACTTGATATTTTTTAAATTTCATTCCTTTCCGAGATTTAGTAACAATCTTGCGGTGTGGGTCTCTTAAATTCTATTCGATTAAAAAGTTCTACTAAGAATTGTTATAATTTTTCAATTTATTTGAACTTCGATATTACTGCTTGCTTAGGATCGTGTGAATGGATCGACTGCTTATATTATGTAAAACGGTAATATACTATGCTTCACGACTACTTTTATATCATTAATATTATAATATTATATTATATATATTTTACTGGGAAAAAATGCGCAATTTCCAAGTAGAATAGTTATCGCGAAAAAGTTTAATAAAATTAATTAATATTGTTACTAGAATGTGTAAAATGTAAAAATTAAAGATTTTGACTAAATTTTTATATGGATATTAGTCAATTTATAAAACCAATCGATTTATAATGTATTATGTAAAATTTCTAATCTTCTAGTCAATGAATTAAGTTTTATTACTTTATTGAGTAGATATTTTTTAATTAATAAAGGTTTTTTTTACTATTAATATTAATTTATTTATCAATTTCTTAATTCGCTTTATTCGTCCGTGCTGCTACGAATTTCTTACCTTTTTTTTGTTATTAACCACAACATTATTTTAACCCAAATTTGATGAAATTTGTTAACAAAGTGTTTTGGAACAATCCATTTCATTTTGACTTCCTGATCGTTTCCGAATTCTGAAATAAATCCCAATAACCAACGAATAGACGCTCTGACGGACACGGCTTAGTCACATACTTCGATTTCATTTGGTTCAATTTGAGTGCAAATCCTTAAAAGGGTCAAACAGGAAATATAAAAAGGTCTTTATGTATCTTCATGATGTATAACTTTATTTATTCATGCTTATCTTTTCAGTACGTAATATTTGGAAATAATGGTAATTACTATGTATATTGTGATAAATATAACATTTAATAAAAAACTAACTGTTGATGTCAGTACTTAGTTTAAAAAGGTTAAAAGTTAATAAGTAATTAGAATATGAATTTAAAAAACGTATAGAAGGGAATCAATGTAAAATCAGAAAATCGAGTTATAATGGGAAAATCACAGTTTTATTTTAAGTATGTTAGATAGAGATAGTGTTCAGATATTCTATTTCAATTATATGTACCTAAACTGTATCACTATTTTTATAGTACTTTCATTTATACTATTTATTATTTGAGTTAATGTACCTCGTTCAATTTTATACTACTAAAGTATTACGATCTTAATTGAAACCGCAATAAGGTTGAAAATTTGTTGGCTGGCATTATGTGTGATTTCTGATGAGTGCCAATCGCTCATGATTGCGACAGTTTTCAAGGAGAAGATTAGTACAAAGAAACAATTGTTGAGACATTATGTCCCAACAAATCGTAATCAATAGTTTTAATTATTTTCTTCCAAAAATAATAATGATGACCGAAGATCAAGATTAAAAGATTTCTTCTTTTTGGTTAGCAAAAGTAAATAGATTTCTTTTTTAATTACAAATATGATAACTGGAATTTGTTTCTTAAAACTAAGGGTAATTTATAACATAGGATTCCTACATATTATTATGTATATCGATGGTCATACTGTCGGCGAAGTGCCAATAGCATTTATCAGTTAAAATGTATGTTTTACTACATTACATAATACAATTCAAGAACAAACAATTGGAACACAACCAATTACACTATACTACAACTTTTGCTGTTCCTGTCGAATAAATAAAAAATAAGCCAGTATTCATAGAACTTAGTATACTTCGTCTTGTTTATGTAGCTTACTACAAATATTTATATTTAGTGAACAATCATTAATTAAATAGAACGCTATTTTTGTATATTATTAATTTGATGGCATGAAGATATTTCTGAATAATACTGTAAACTGTTTGTATTGTTTAAATCGATATCATAAAATTATTTGTTCTTTTGTTTCGAATTGAATCATCGTAAAACCCTCATTTGAAAAATATTTCATAATTTACAGTTAGTGACAAAAAATTCTGATATTAGAAGGTGAAAATAGAAAAACAAATCCTATACTACGGATTATTATTATAATGATAATTATGAATAACAATATGTAATTCAATCAATCTAGTCGTCATTAATCGACTCACAGACAGACAGTAGCTTTTACTATACTATTTTTACATTGGTCTTGGCCGCATGCCATTAACTGTACCCTTGTGCTATTGCAATCGAATTAACTCCAGCTTCCACCAATGTTTTATTTCTAAAATTTTCACTAACAAATATTTGGTTAAATCCATCCACAAAATATAAATCCCATAACCCAACTGTAGTGGTCAACAGAATATTTCAAAGTGAGACGAAAATAGCATCAGCGGCGCTGGCTGAAGTACGTTTCAGTCGTAAGTATGATGGCGCCGTGAGCGTCTCTCGCGTCGGCCATGGTGTGCCACAGATGGACTCTAGCTCTAATTTTATTCGGCCTTCCTATATTAGCTACAGTAAGCGCATTCCGCGTGCGCTTAACTGGAAGTGTTTCTGAAGTTAAGCCCGATTTAAAAAAACACAAATGTGAGAATTGTGATATTGGTGACCTTAACTTTGACCGAGTAGATAGTGTTAGAAAGAGTGAGAAGATTCCGTACGATAATGTGAAAAGTATTCTTAGTGAAAAACGAGATTTGATTAGTGAGAAGTTAAAAAAAATAAGCCATAACACTGTAAAATCTCAAGATGATCTTGATGAAACCGAACAGAATAAGGTTATGGGCAAAAATGAACACGATATTTCAGACCACTTAAAAAAAGATAAAGAATCGAAAACAAGAGTAAAGAAACCGTCAATAATCTTAGACTTTTCTGATGACGATGACAGTGATATTAACGAAGACGACGATGACGAGGACGAAGATGACATAAAAAAAGTAGTGAAAGATGATTACAAGAAGAAAGTAGATGTAGTTCCAAAACTTATACCTAAAATAGAAAAACTTGTAGAGCTACCAAAATCGAAGGATAAACTGGTTGTAAAAAATGAAAAAATATCCGACAAAAAAGAACCAAGTAAGAATGAACCATCTGCACAAATTCAAGAAGAATCGTTTAAAGATATTAATATTAAAAATGTTAAAACTATTGTTAAAGATAAAAAAGTAAGCAAAGACGTCGAGAAAAAAAGTAAGAGTAATGAAAATGATTTAAGCAAAAGAAAAATTGAGATTAAAATAGAAGAAAAAGATACTGACAAAATGAATGTAAAACAAACTAAAAAATTATCAGAAGATGATACAAGTATAAAAGATGGTGAAAAAAAACACATAAGTAGTAAGACTTCACAAAAAAAAGAAGAATTTGTGAATGAGAGTGCTAAAGAGAAAAAGAATGAACAATCGTCGAAAACGCCATCGGATTTTAAAGAAAATATTGATGAGGAGTCCAGAAAAGATAAAACTACAAAAGTAGTCGACGCTAAAAAAAAAGATATTGTAGATAAGAGTTCTTCGAAAGACATTCGTCCCATCTCCGATGCATTACAAAGAAAAAATTTGTTACATAGTGAGTTTGAAGACTTCTATTCCTTCTTACCTACTTTTGCACCAAATGTTACACGAATACATAATCCAGAATGTCGACGACATGGACAAATACTTTTAAGACAGCTACGTGGAAGTAAGCTTTGGGCTTTAAAAAGTAAGTATAAATAAAATTTAAACGATACATTTTTTAATAAGCATCTAAATTATGTCAAAAATAAATGAATTCTCTATTTAAATTTAAAAAAACTGTTCCGATAAAATGAATTAGAAACGAAGAACGTAAAGTACAACATCAATAATTTAATTGGTGAAATTTTTAAAAGTCGCTTATGTACTGTACACTATATACCGCTAATAGGAGGATATATTACTAATTCTGTTGTCAGTTTCTTTTTTCTGGCATCAATTCCGAGATTTCAGCTACACATGATAGATACAAAAATATAAATAGTAACAAACCACATCTCTAAATTCAAGGTTACTTATATTGTGGTTTATATCTTTTGTTTTAATTAAACATGTGTTTGTAGCATTACGAAAGCGTTGTTACCGTTTCAAAAAATTGCAGGCATTAATAAAATATTTAAAGAACAAAGCGCCATTGAGTGCCTTATTTGCTTACAAAATAAGCAAACTGCTCCCCAAAGCTTTGCATAGTTTAACAAAAGTGTTATACTTTTTATTACAGTGCTAGATGCTACAGCGAAGTTTCCCTCGGGGTTTCTTCAAGGTAATGGAATCCAGTTGGGGGATTTTGACCAGTGTTTGGGGGTACGAGCTAGAGTACAACTGGACACTGGCAGCGTGGTTAGATTACAAGGAAAATATTGTCTAGCTATGATCGATGTCAAAGCAGAACATCCGGAACTTGAAATACCAGTTCACTTGGCACAAGGCAAAAATTTGTTTAAAAGTCGTATCGATGATGTGAGTTTTTACTGTATTTTTTACTTGTTAAAAAAACTATTAAAACTTTTAGTCATATTAATTACTTATCGATTCAATTAACGATTCAATTCAATTAACAATTATTGTAATATACATAACGACATTCCATAAACAAAGCTTCATAAGGAGTTATTGTTATGCCTGATGTGGTTCATTTATAGTCCTCCAATCGACAATTAACATCCCCAATAATGTACTCGTCAGGTAGCTGTTGAGTTAATTATTATTATCGACATATATTCCAATAAAAAATTCTATAATAATGTGTAAATATCTTCAGTTTTTATTGTAATATAACAATGATTAGAAATTTTACGTCTATGTATTGATAATGGGAATATATATGAAATTGTTGTCTTAGTGTTGTTCTGATTTGTGTAGCCAGGTCACTTCGTGCCTAGGTTTTCAACCTTGAGTTGGGGAGTGTGCATACCATCGGCTTGTACTTCAGAAGATGTGGAGGTGGTTCTGAGAGATGCTGTTAAACATTATCAATACAAGACTGGCATTAGTACAAGGATCAGAGTTGATGAACATGATTGTTTTACTAGAAAAGGAAGTAATTGGTGGAAGGAATGGTTAGAGTTACCGACTATTATAACTTTGTAAGTTTCTATAAATAAATTTGCTTTTGTAAATATCATTTTAAATATTCTCAAATGTTATAAATATTCGATTATGACGTGAAAGAACTGCTAAGTGTATAGTATAATTATCTATATAAAAATAATAATTGGATTTTGCTTTCAAAATATTCATTCGAGTTATTGTCGCTATAGTAAAATATATAGTTAAAAAAATATTCATCATATTGGTTTTCCAATCTCCGGTGTAAATTGTTTCAAGTTGTGTACTTTCCAATCACCGAAAATATTATAAGAAATATTATATTACACACGACATATTTCAATTTTCGTTTCATACGAATTATTTATCTCTTTAATCAAATAAATATAAAATGTCGAAATGTCAGTCTATTTATTGGCATTAAAATTGGAATCTCTCAGTAAATTTTTGGCACTCAATTACTGACTCAATAAAAATATTCGAGTTTTCGCATCAAATGTAAATTTAGGAGGGATGTAACTTATTTATTGACCTTTAATCAGCACCTTTGCCTCGTAATCAGTCTTTTAACAGGTCGTAATATTTTAACTAGTATTGAAAATGTATAAAAATTTTATGTCTCTTTATTTGGTTAAATATTTATAATTAATTGGTACAGTGACTTTTTATGCTTTATAATTTTTCAGATCCTTATACGCGTTGGTAATCCTGATAGTTCTGATAGCGACAGTCCAAGATATGTTAGCTAGAAATGAATCTAACCACGAGGAACATGAAGAGGAGGAAAAAGAGATGAAAAAGCAAGAAACCAAAACCAGTTCAGGTAAATAAACTATAGGATATTGACGACCTTACACTTAATGAAATTTTGAGTACTTAAATTTAGTACACAACCTTCAAATAATAGTTAAAATGGAACAAAGCTTCCTTGGAGAGATAACATTGATATAGGAAATTACTGTAAAACGGAGAGTTTAAGCGAACTTTCTATTATTAAAACTGATAATTAAAATAAAATGTAACTTAATTTTTCTTGATCACAAATTTACACACATACCTTTACAAAATAAATACATCAGTAATATTGTATACATTTACATTTCAAATATTAAAAAGATGTTTTGTCTTAATAGCTATTCACAAAAAGTATTACGTACAATTGTATCCAACCTTTACCTACATTATTGAGAGTTCAGCGTTACTGTGATTGTAATTGATTTGTAACGTATTAATTATCATAAATTATTACAACTCAAGTTGCGGCATCAAGGGTCACGTCAACTAATTGTCTATATCACGGACCTGTGACATATTTATCAATGCCGCATGACCTGCCACAACAATGATTTATGACCCTGGTGTACTTAGGCTGTCTACATAAGTGTCTATATAATTTGGTTGTATTGAACCTTTTGTTTCTTTTGATCAAATTTTTTTTTTTCATCCAATTCTATTTGAGCCTTTTAAACTACCTGTCACTTCAATTCAAAGAAGTACAGACAGAAAAAAAAATGTTATAATAACTTTGTTTTTATATGAAAAGAATATTCATTATATAAAAGTAAGATTTTTTAGTAAAGTCTACATTTAAATGCACTGAGTATTGTATAAATGTTTGTAATCAAACACAAAAAAAGGGAAGCATAAATATTGAAGCATGAATTTGCTTATTGTGTTGTTTGTTTTAAAACATGAGTTTTAGAATTGTTTAAATCAGAGTCATAATTCATGTCCGTTTACAATCAACCTTTTAGTCAAAAAAATATTACACGCATTATTCAGTGTGCACACAAAGTACAGCAATAAGCACGTGGTTGACACATAGGCCGCAATTTATTATGAAATTTCATTATAAATTTTATACTCACAACCAAAATCTAATAGTTCAGTAGACGTAGTTTCTCTTAAAATATGGTTGGCAATAAACGTATAAGTCTTATACGTAAAAAAAGTCACTTTTATATTACAAAAATAAATTATATTCATGGCTTTGTATCTTACTTAGTATATCCTTACATAAAGGACTCATTTTATTTTCAACAACTTCAACGTCCCACGAAATTTGTATTAGCATAAATAAATTTTGAAGCCTCTAAACCCCAGATAGAAACTCAAGTTCTTTTCTAAATCAACCAACGAAATAATTTATTATGTAAATTGGGGCCGTCGACAGTTAAACGTCACACCGGCTTTCATGGTTCAGTTTTCTTTATATTTTTACTTGAGTGCATGGTTAATGAACTCCAATAACATTTTTTAATATGAAAACATATTTTTTATAAAAATATCAATATAAAGCTAGCAGCTAATTAAAATATGTGATACAATATTCCGAGGATTCTGTTATAACTATACAGTAAAGTTGAAGGTAATTAATTATAGGAAAAAGCGCTTGGAATATAAAGCCTTAAGTATGACACTGATTCATTGAGAGCACCTGAATGAACGGGAAGTATCGCGAAATAACTTTTATCAATGTATCGTACATCCCTTCGTATACATTCTATCAACGACCTACTTTTAATGGTTGATATTGAAATGTATTTTTGTTATAATATATATATTTTCTAAAGGTGGCGTCCTGAGCTGTTTTTCTTTGTACCACACGCTGAATAAGCTTGTAGCACCAGCAAGCGAGGATGAGATAGCTTGCATCCATGGCATTCGAGCTGTTGTAACTGTGGCACTCATCGTCGCTCATAAGTTTCTACCGATGGCTTTAACACCATACACCAACCGCATACGTTTGAGTGAGGTTTGTCAAAAATATTTATATTCTAGTTATATGTGTAATCATACTCTCATTCTTCAGAGTTAATCGATTAATTCTATTTCAAAAGTCTTAATAGAATATCAACAATTAATGTTTAATTCATCGTTTACACGAATTTTCCATCTTTGACTTTTCCTTTGTTGTAACAAGTTCCTGGTATTGATCTGAATATCTAGCACAAAGCTGTTACACATTTTACGAATACCCACTTACATAGGAACGCGAAGTTTGTAAGCTGAACGTTTTGTTCCGACGCTTGTTATTCTGTTCCACGCGAGCAATGCTTGTTAGAAACATTGCATAAACTAACAAAATTATTGTCTTCTTCAGTTATTAGATTAGAATTTGGTACATATGCATAGTGTTAGTAGAAACGATTTCATGTTATTTCTTCATATTATTTCATCTTCTAGCAGTAATAAGAAATTTAATTTATATAAATAAATTTCAAACAAATTCCTTTTACTAGAAATGCTTTATTCAATTAATAATGCAACAGCGTTTTGCATTTTAAATAGCCAGGCTCACGGCAGTAAATTATGCATATTAATTTTAACGGAGACTTATTTATATAGAGATGTTTGCGAGAATATAAATGAATACATTTAATTAAAATCTATTTTTAGTATGTATTTTTATTAAAGCTATAAAGTTACATAAAAAATATATTATTTCAACAATTGAACATCAAAACGGAATATTTAATTATTGAAAATCAAATCTTTCCAATTTTACACCATCCAGAATATGAAAGTAATATTTTTAGAAGACAGTTATGCTTAAATGTCGCTTTAAAATTAAATTTTTTGAGTTTTTTGGCAAGACGTTGCAAAAATTATAGGCTAATAAATTTACTACCTTACAGTGTAGTTAAGTTGATGGTAGACAATAATCGTTCAGCTGTAAAATAGCTCTGAAACTAACTTTTTACGGCAGGTATTTTAATAAATTATAAATTTAGATATTATTTTGTGATAGGAATATTTCAACTAGGTACATATATTTGAAAATAATTTTCCGTAACAATTTATTTCAAATTAAATCAGCAATAACTTATTTTGTCTTGATTACCTTAAATTATTTTGTATTGGTTATCAAGACTTGTGAAAATAAAATAATAAACTTATTGATTGGATCAAACGTTAATTCTTAATAGGAATCAATGAAACGGGATACTAAGAGTTGTTAAAATAATCAATTATTAATACGTCGTCTCAAGTACTCATTAGATTTCCTAAGGTATTCTTAGTGAAATCTTCATCTCACATTTTCCTAAACTTATTAAGTTTTCATGGTTGGTGATAAATATTTTAAAGTTTTCTTTTACTATTTTAGTTTAAGAACCTTTTTATAACGTATCGTTTTCAAAGAAAAGATGTACCTATTCTTGCTCAACATTCTTAGTTCGTTTAATAACTTGCTTGTTATTTTTTACTTTAGGTTTAGGCTGTAGATATTAAATAGATTTTTTAGAATTGATACTGTGCTCAGGGCAATTAACTAAGTATCTTAGTAAAAATTCAGTTTAACATACTCATTTTGTACAACTGGTATCCATTTTTATTTCGTCTTTACCGGCAAAGCGTCTAATGTCTAATGTAACTCAATTTGAAACTAAAATGTTGTACTAAGGAGTTAATAGAGTCGTTTTCTGATTGAGTTCTGATGACTATAGTCATAAAGTTTTCACAAAATTATTAATTCAAACAATATTAAACAGGTGTGTTTGAACAAAATATGTATCCTATAATTAATTCAATGAAATAAATAATTTTTGGCACTTACTATATTATCTTAAATATAACAAGAAATTCTTTCTCACCAAATATTGTAACTATTATATTTTAGATGGATTTTAATCTTAATGAAATCTCGCATATCTTTTAAAAATAGCAAATGATTTTGATCAACAGGTTCTGAGATTTGGTGTGTTTAATAAAATATTAACATATTATTACTGTTACCAACCCGTTTTATAACCCGTTTGACAACAACCCGTGATTTTAGGCTTAAAAGACTATGAAACAATCGTATAATGAACTCTTGGTATAAATTTATGTTTAAGACTTTATTATTAGGTATTAACTAAACTTCATGTAGCGTATGTTGGCAATTGTGACGTTTGAGATTAACTTACAAGTAACCGTCAGACGAATTCTCAGACGTAATAAGGATATTATAGTTTAGGTTAAATTTTAAGTACGATAAACCAATAACATAATATATTGTCTAGGACTTTCGCGAATTTTATTCATTTAAATGAAACCAATATTTTTCGGATATACTACGCGGTTTATTTTTGTGGAAAACTACGTAAATACATAGCATGTACATACTTTTTCACAACCAACAGTGTATATTAAAATACAGTAAAAACAGTCAATATTAAAAACTTGTAAAACAAAAATTTTATATGTTTATTTTAATTCTAATAATTTTCTAACGGAACGACTTATTTTTGGAGCAAATAATAACTGTTTATTCAAAATATTGTAGTTCAGTATTCCTCATAATTTAAGAAAGCCAAACATTTGTTGTGAATATTTATAAATATGTGTTTATTTATAGAATACAGTTGCTATACTCAAACGAAATTTTAGTAAGGATACAAATTAATTCTTTTATTTTTAAATAGCAATTGCTCTTTACTACATTTTAAACACAAATATTTCACTTGGAGTATTTAATATGAATCGGAAAACTAAAGTACTTGATAGTATTGTTCTGATTTTGACAATATGTTAATAATGTTTCACTTTATTTGTGTTTTATTCTAATTTTGAAGTTATAAACAAGCCATTAAAGCAGTTTTAATTAATGCTGTTTTTGTATAAAGTTAACATTGTATTATAAACGTGATCATTAAAGTAATCCTTTTTTTCTACAGATTTTAACGTCCTCTTTGTTGTCCTGGTGCAGAGCTGGCTGGATCTTCACAGATTGCTTCCTCCTGATAAGTGGGACTCTCACTTCATACAGAAAGTCTCCAAGTGATAATGTCGCAGCAAAATTATTATCCAGATTTATCAGGTAGGACTTAGTTTTCAATTCTGTGTTAAAGTATAATTTCATACGAAAATATTTATGATTTATATGTTTTTTTTTGCAGATTAACACCAGCTCTTTTAGCAATAGTTTTATTCTACGCTTATGTTTGGGACAATATATCCTCGGGTCCCATGTGGGGGACTCTCGTTTGGAAAAACTCTCAGTTGTGTCGCGATGGATGGTGGTGGAATATACTATACGTGCAGAACTACTTTGGATTTGAAGATATGGTATTTTGATTAAAATAAATATTATTATTATTGTTTGTGTGAGTAAATTGGTTATTGCAAAAAGATATCAATATTTCTATATCTTTTCAATCACGCACAGATACAGGCTCTTTTTAATTTTGTTTGATTGTAATGATGTAAACATAGACCAAAGAATTCGTTTTATTATTGTTTGTTAAAGAGGTATTTTTTTATTTCAGTGTGCTCCTCAAACCCATCACATGGCTATGGATTTTCAACTGACGATCTTAGGAAGTATAATTGTGTGGATGATTCAATCTGAAGTTCCCTTTGCGGGTACATTGCTGCCGACGTTACATGTGCTGTCTGCGTACTCCAGATACACGACTGTACGGGATCATCGATTGACACTCCTGGCTTATCAAGGAGTCAGGTAATTACATTCTATACAAAATTTTTTACAAGTCTTAAGTAGAACTTTATGGGCCTCCTAATAGTATAAGGCTGGATTATAATTTTACTTTTGTTTACATATGAAAATATTCAGTTGAGTTTCAGTTTAATATTTTATACTTTAAGATAATAACATTTATCATTGTAATAAAAAGTTAACGTGCTCCGTGAAAATTATGCCACGAGAAAGACATTAAGAACACAATTCCATTTGATTAATATAACAAATTAAAATACTGCAAAATTACAAGGTAACGTCTAAGAAATATTCGAATTTATTTAATTATCGACATTGACTTAGATTGTCATTAAAATGTACACCTTGGGCGTTGTTTAAGATTTAAAATGTTTATATATTAGCCGATATAAATTTCAACATTAAATCCTATGTTTTCTAAATAGTTGCCTCATTTAAAAATGTTAATCTCTTCATTTGTAGTAGTTTACGTATCACCTCGAGCTATTGCAATTCAATGCAGAGGATTAGTGACACATGGGACAGTGCTGTAAATGTTGGCTAAATTCCTCTATGTGTACCTCTGAATCATTGATTGATGGTTTGCTACTAATTTTGTTTATGTATTTATGGATGTACAAATGGTCAAAGTTAATTTCCATCTGTTTATAGTAATAAATTAATATAATATGTATAAATTCAGAAAATTTTAGTGCCTTGTAATGGTTCGCGATTAAGATGTTGCCAATGTCACTCATTAAGTTTTGTTTTGTTTTTAATTTAAATATATATGTTTAATTACTAGATAGATATGTCTATAAATAAATAAAAATATTTAGCTTCTTGTTACCTTAAAGAAGTATCTTTAATATTTTAATAAGTCTGATAGAATTATGTTACTTATATTAGAATAAATGGTTAAATTGTAGACCAATATCTCACTTAAAAGTTATAAAGTTATTTATATTTACTTATAAATTTCATGAACAATTCTTTAAGGTCTTCAAACATCCAAAAAAAGAATGAAATAAAAGATGTAGCTTTGTGTTTTTTAATATTATTCCACACAGGAAACTTATCACCTAAATATCTGAACATTGGAAAGGATAGAATATTTTGTAATTCTTATCTTAGATCTTGGAATAGTTTCTTGGATACTGTAATAACAAAATTCCAACTCTCGATAGATATGACGAGGTCTTTGGTATCCGTCGTTAGTCACACAAGCAGTATTCAAGATGAACATCATGAAATACCTTTGGCTATCATATTACTACACTTTGATGTTTGTTGTAGTGTCAGCCAACTATACAGGACAGGTCGTTTGAGCTACACGTCTATTTATCATCGATGTTCGCCCTACTTGATCGGACTAAGCTTAGGGCTTTATCTCAGAAACCGCTCACGTCTCACTAAGGTAAGATAAAAAAATAGATAAATTAGAGTACGTTATTAATGTTCCTTTTTGTCTCGTAATACCTTTGTGATTTTATTATTAGAAATATACCTTCAGGAACGATCTAAAGAAACAAAGACTGACGGCCTTTTTCATGTTATTTGTTTGATCTTCTACTTTGTTTTAATTTTAAAAATTATTTTTATTTCAATATTGACACAGTTTATTTTTTTCAGCCATTAGTATACTTAGGTTGGTTCATCTGTGGCACTTTATGGGGGGTAATATTTTGGGCGGGTTATGATTCCGGGTACCTTGATTATCGATATGATGTCACATACGCCGCACAATATGCAACGCTTGCACCCGTCGCCGCTGCGTTAGGGTTTGCCTGGATAATCTATGCTGCTCAAAATGGACACTCTGGTAAGTATTTAACTGATCGCAAGATTACAGTTTAGCTTTAAAAAAATTGTTTCATTCAGTTATTATAGATACAGTTCAGTTTATATATTTCAAACACGTAATATATGTTATTCTCTTTCAAAACTTGTTAGGTCTTGAGTTTCTTAGAGGTTTCATATAACTCTTTGTTTCAGAAATTCTATCTCGAATGCTTTCCGGTCGTCCACTTCTATTTATAAGTAGAATATCATATGCTCTTTATTTGGTACAATTTGTTGTCTACCTTACAAACACCGCCTCTATTAAGACTTCAAGGGAGTTTTCTCTTACATCGCTGGTAAGTAAAGATGTTTAAAGATAAAGTTATTACATGTTAGAGTTGCAAACAGTATTCAATACCACAAATTTTATGACAATTTCTCAACTTTAGATTCATTTTAACATCGAAGACTATTATTGAATTTATGTTTTTTTGTAAGGTTTTAGTGTTTGTTAATATTCTGTTTATTAACTTTAAATCTTTAACTACTTATTGTTTGTTTTTGGTTTACTTCTTAAACCTAGTATTAATAGTTTTAATTTTAAAATAAAAGAGAACTATTCATTAAAAGTATTGTTGTTCCGAAAAATTCGGTGCCCTTATACATATATTATTAACATTATGTAATCTATATGTCTTTGGTTTCAGATTGATCTTCAAGAGATCATTACTATTCTAGTATCTTCCATAATTCTCACCGTGACCTTGGTACTTCCACTACAGTCACTACCAAAGTTATTTGAAGCTACAGCAAACGATAACTTGGAAAGTAACGATAATGAAGATGTTTCAGAATATAACAATTTGCAAGAAAAGTTAGAATCGAGAAATAAAACAGATGAGAAGGAATTAATTTCAGAATCAATTCAACCAAGGCGATCATTTTTAGCTCATCGAGAAGTTTTGGAAGAAATACCAGAAGCCGAAGTAGAATATGAGATACAAAGAGATTCACATGACGGTTTGGAAGAAATTTTAGAAGAGGAAGATGACGAAATGATGGATCGAGAGGAAGATGATTTAGAAGTTATTGAGGAAGAACAGGGGGGTGAAGAAGATTTTTGGGCAGATAGAGAAGAATATTCACCAAGTCATTTAAGAAATGGCGATCAAGAAGTTGACGAGTGGGAGTGGACTGCAAATGGTAACGATGGAACAGGAAGTCAACATTACCGGTTTAACAGATAACTTGTTATAAAATAAACATTTTAGACCTACTGGCTTTTTATTTTATTTAATTCAATATCAAATACCTAATGTTAAATGAATGTATTGAGAAATTGAGTAAATAATAAGACATTGAAATGAAATTACATATAAATATAACGTTTGTGTAAAATCAACATTTCGCTTCTTTATGTTTTGAGGTGTATTTTTTGCATTTCTTGCACATTACCCCTCTTTACTTTTAAGAATTTTCAAATAATTATTGTTAACATTTCTTTGTTAAATAGGGACAAGAAGGTGTTATTTATAATCAGTAGTGATCAAAACATAATTAATCAATAAAATGTTATGAATGAAAACCTTAAGAAATTATATAATAGCTTCTATGGAAAACTATAAGAGACGTAGGCGACAGAACAATAAGGTTGTTGTAATAGGATAATGGTCACAGGACACCGACCAAGCGCTGACTTAGTTTATTTCATTCATCAAGCCTCGAAGGTTGTGTATCAGTCGGCGAAAACGAGCGGCGCGTGCGCACGCTCAAAATGATCTCTATCGCTGTGATTCTCACGATCGCTTGCGCGGTAGTCACGGCCGATCAAAACTCAAATGAAACCCACATAGATCAACAAGTTATTAAACGTTTATCTACAATATTAAATTCGAGTAATGTTGATCTGCGAGATATAAAAAGATTAAACCTTACAGCCCAAAATATAGGTTTAGATAAAGATTTTATAGAGAAATTGTCTGGGTCATTGCAAGAATTTAGGGAAGGGAAGAAAATTGATTCTGGTTACAACGTGTATGAAGATGGAAAGGGTGATTCATCTAGAGTCAATCCCATTGCGGAATCTCCTGATTACGCTTCATCAGTGGTACTGGCTAGTGACTTACTATCTCTAACTAGTGCTGTGGCAAATGTAAAAGAAAAAGTTTGTAGGGAACAGGGATACCGATTCCTCGATGGACTTCTGCTGAACAAGAGATGGGCTTTAAAAAGTAAGTACCTTTTCAAAAATACTTAATACATGTCAAGAAACATATGACAAACATAATGCGATTTTCAAAATGCTATTGACAGTTTTGTATTACTGAAAAAAAGTTAATGATATTTTTCACTCAACAATAAGAAATTTATTTGATAAACCTAAAATGCTAATATTTCATAGTAACGATCTTAGTGTATTGTATAACTTATTACTAGAAAAGATACTTCACTCGACGAGAGAATGTTTTCCTCGCTAATTACAAAGTACAATAGATCAATCAGATGACATTGAAACATATTATATAAAAAAAGTTCATCCCTTTGTATACAATAAATAAATAATGAGATACTGTAATTAATTGTCATAAATCTCCGAATCTTTTTGTTGTTTCATAATAATTATAATGGATAAAATGTGGTGGCATTATGAAATGGTACTGTCTTTGTTTTCGGAACATCAAAAACACGATTTTTATCTTAACATTAATACTAAAATATCTTTCCTTTTATACATATTTAATCTTTTATCTTAAAGAAATACCCTTTGCTTTTAATCGATCTTTTCGTTCGACAAAAAATTTCTGTGTTAAAAGTATATTTTTTTTCATTTTTGTATAATAGACATGATTTTGCCGTGAATCTGCTTTCGTGATACGAGTTTTAATTAAAATATAATAAGCAGCGGTGTTCGTTTTTTAATATATGTTTACAAAAGAAAATTCTATTCTATTCATTTGATGTGTTGAGTAAGTTAATACGCGATTTAAGATAGTAAGATGATGTACATATGATATTACTTACACAAACAAACTCTTTCATTCATAATATCATATTAGATGGTAGAAAAATTTATAAGGCTTATATTTATGGTCACAATAATTACAAAAAAGAGAAATATTTTGGTCGAATCTCCAGAGAACTCTAAAGACGGTGGATCTTGTATAAATAATAACATTCGTTAATCAAATTAATTAAAGCTTTAATAAAATGAATAAAAAAACACTTCCATACTTCTAAAAGTGATTTATGATGAGTTATGAGATACTTGATCAAAGAACAGCGGTAACAATGTTATAGTGGCTTTATATTTTAAAAATAAATTATTACATGAATTTTATTAGAAATATATGTTAATTTAAAACACTAGTAAAGAATAGCGGCCTATATTAAGTATTCTAACATTGTGTACACAATGTCCTAGCGATTGACAAATCATACGACATGGGAATATTGAAGTGATTTGTGTATAATAAGTTTATTTTAGAGTTTAGAATTCTTCAAGAAAGAAATTCCTTGGAATTATCAAATGCTCTGTAGTGAAATAAAGAGTTTCTTCAATTCATTTGTCAATGAAAATGAAAAGTATTTATAATACAAATTAATCGTCTTCTATAGTTTGAAAATTTCAATTCACTGTGATAATATATAATATAGGAATGGTATATTGCGATTATGTACAAACGAGTTATAATATTTACGATTTATAATATACATGTATCATCGGTTATTTTTAAGAATATTCGACCAATTCTGAATAAATTATTATACCTGTTATAAATGATGACTATAAAATCAGTTTGATATTTTGTATCGATGTTAACCTTTTTGCAAATATTTAAGCATCCAAAGTTTTAACTTCGTCAGTGTAATCAGTGATATCTGTCTTAAATATCAAAAGTGGTGAAGCAAAGTAAATACTCATACAATGGGCTCTAATTACAAAAACTTTTTATATGCCATTCTGAATATCAACAAAATCTTAACAACAAGAAAATTTAAAAGATGATTGCTATTGAAATAAAAATATACTGTTGATTCATAATTATTGATTAGGATGACTAACAAAAGACTGCAAAAATCATCACAAAAAGAAACGTGATTTAAAAGTAAACTTAGATTCATAACAACTGATTTGGTCGCATTGTTATCGATGTATTTATATTTACCATTATAACATTTTTTTTAATTCTTAGAACATTTACATTTTGACCTTTTGAACATTGAGCATTGTTATAGAGTTGTAAAAATAATTCACAGGTTAATGAATGAAGCGAAATGCAGTCAAACAGGTACACATAATTTAGTATTATTTTATGATTTATATGTATTAACATAAAATTATACCTTATATTATTTTATGGGATAACCTAAATTCCTCTCTTTAACTGTCGTAAACAGTATGCGTTCTTTTAATAAAATATCTACATAAAGGAAATTTTAAAACATTTTAAAATAAAGGATATACACATATATCTGATTGACTCCTAGTCGGACGTTTATAATATAAAATTGTCATTGAAGTCAATACACGCACATGACCATCGCACTATTCTTTTCTATTCTTAATTTGTACCCGTTTGAAAAGATATGTTCAAAACCATATCTACATATATTTAAAACAAATATTAAAACCAATCAGTACATAAGTGATCTTTTAAAGAGAAAATATAATTTACTAGAATATAAATTGTGTTAACATTTATAATAGAAGTAAATAAAACGGTTAGTTTAACAACAAACTTGAAATGTTAACAGAATTAATAATATTATTCGCATATATTAATTATTTTATTGAAATTCACTAACAAAAGTAAATAAATGGGGTTTATTAGCTTTATACACTATTATAAGTTACTACATTGTAACGATGACTTTGATTGGTAATAAGGCTTTTGATTCTTGTTTTAGGAACTTTTAATGTTATAATTTATAAGAAAACTAGTAACCCCCTGCGAACTCCGTTTCGCCACCAGAAGGCTTTTATATAACACTAGTTTTTGCCCGCGACTTCGTCCGCGTTAGTTTCGTCATTAGTAATATATGTATAGCTGACCGGGACAACTCTATTCCGTTTTAGAGGCCATTAATAATCAGGTTTCTCCTGTTTCAATCTAACAGAATGATTGACATATTAGTTAGTTGTCAAATCTAATGTCAAAGAAAACAATTGTATGGGAAATAGGAAAGGGTTGTTTTTAGGGTTTTCCCGGAAATGAATCAAATTTTTCAGCTTTCAAACCCTGAACCTCCACGAACATTTCAAGACTAAGATAAGGTAAATCCGTTCAGCCGTACTCGAGTTTTAGTGAGACTAAGGAACAGCAATTCATTTTTATATATATAGATAAATTAATTTAAATATAAAATCAATGAAAAGTATCAATATTATCGTAAGTTAGTAATTTTCATTCGGTTTTAGAGATAATGAGAACACTTTAGTAAAGGATGAAAAATATTGTGTCTAATTAAGGTTTTTTGGAAGGCTTGGATCGATTTGTTTTGAATTTGATATTCATTTAAATATAAAGATAATCTTTAAATAAACATTTCGATGTATTTCAATCTATTACAAAAACACATTTAGATTTCGTTCGATATTTTTCATACAATTGTATTTATGATTTGTTATATTAACAATGGATCTGCTCAGTCAATCCCGCTTCTTCTGATATAAAAATGTAATCTCGAGATATATTTCGAATATATTTAGAGTTTTAACCAGACGAATTTGATTATTTCCAGTAACCGTGTTCAGAAAAGACGGTTATTGAATACCAAAATCTAGTTCACTTTAACATACCTCTCGTGAAAAGTTTTCATTGTGTACTGGGTTTATATTTGGACTCAATGTTCAATAAATATTTTAAATCACAATTCAGTTTTAAATATACTGACTTTCTCATTACTAATAGTACGAAAGGATTTGTTTATTTTAAAGTGACATTTGTTTGATTTCCCTATTCATAGTAGTCACTCATCAATGAAGTACCTCGTTAATTCATTAACATGTGTTTTATATTTTATGTTCACATTAATGCAAAACAAAGCTTGTCATATACTACCTCGCTATTATTCCGTTTTAATGACGTTAAAAATTGATGTTTGCAATACAAATGGAAATGCGAGAAGAATTTAAAATACTTACAGGAATTTCCAAACTACGGGAAGCAATATTGGAATGTATAATAATATATATAAACGAACTGCTTTTTATGTATTCATAAATATTTTGAATATGATCTTGGTATAATCCTAACATTGTCTGCAATGAACATTTTTATATGTGTTATAGTCTACCAATTTTAATACCAGTCACCAAAACTCTTGCTCTGTCGTTTTTATAAAGTACCAAAATGGTTTCTTTAATAATTTTTCAACTATTTGGAGTAAAGTTAAAAATTAAAATGTCAATAAATTAAAATAATAATTCGCTTTGAACGGAGGTAAATCAAAATTCGTTTTGGAAGTTTGCCATATTAAATTTATTGGTAATGAACGTTCGACTCTAAAGAGGAAGCATGACGTCAGAGCCATATTTACTGGCGACAAATGGTCACCGTCCTAAAAGGTTTGAGGTTTTCCAGCCTTTTAATTAGTTTTTAATTGATAATTATATTGGTATGAATATATTTTAAAGCATATGTCAGTGGTGGCCTAGTGGTTAAAAGGCCCACTTCTCATGTACGAGGGCGCGGGTTTGATCGTGGCCCGGGCAAGTACCATTGATTTTTCCGAGTCATATGTACTTTCTAAGAGTATTTAGAGATCACTGATTAATACATTCCTAAGAAAAAGTTGATGTCAGGCAGGAGGCCGGTCGTAAAAAACAATTAGCCAAAACTACATATTTACAACATGCTCTGAGGAAGAAAAGAACATGTTTGCCGACCTTACATAAAAGTGGGATCAGGGCAGGAAAAAAAAATTAAAGCATATAAATGATGTTATAAAATGTGAACAATACTAAAATATTTATTTGATTTAATGGAGTCGTTCATCAGATCGTAACAAAATGTACATATAAGAGGATGATACTAACGTTAAGCTTCGAGAATGATCTTAATTTTTAATATAAACGGTTGAATTTAAGTATTAGTATAGAAGAGGGGAGTGACAAAAACGGAACTTCACATTAATTATGAACAGTCCGTTAAAATTATGGCTATCGTTAAATCATAGTAATTTTAATAGAATTTAAGATAACCGGAAAAATAACCGGTTGCTCTCGAAC